GTAGCGGGCAGCGTGGTACAGAGGGTCAGGCAGAGGAGAATGGTCAGACAAGCCAGGGATCAGAGCAGGGTCAGCAGAGAATCAGACAGGAACAGAGAACAGGATACAGGGCCCAAGAGAAACACACCAAGGCAGAGTCTGCAGGTCTGAATGTCCCTTAAATACACCAGTATAATTAGTTCCAGGTGTTTGACTGGCTGCAAGGTTGAGTCTCTGATTGCTGGGAGCACCCGCTGGCCAGCCCTGGTACTTCAGCTCATAAGGCAGCTGAGTCCCACTATTGCTGGCCAGTCCATTTCTGACAGTACCCCCCCCCCCTCAAGGAGCGGCCTCAGGACGCTCCAAACAGTCCTAGCTGGGCAAAATGTTCCACCCCCCGCCCGGGTCTGGTAACTGGCGGGATATCAAAGACTGGCACACCGGCAGGACTCCGGGCAGCGGCACATCGGGCTGGACTCCGGGCAGAGGCACATCGGGCTGGACTCCGGGCAGAGGCACATCGGGCTGGACTCCGGGCAGAGGCACATCGGGCTGGACTCCGGGCAGAGGCACATCGGGCTGGACTCCGGGCAGAGGCACATCGGGCTGGACTCCGGGCAGAGGCACATCGGGCTGGACTCCGGGCAGAGGCACATCGGGCTGGACTCCGGGCAGAGGCACATCGGGCTGGACTCCGGGCAGAGGCACATCGGGCTGGACTCCGGGCAGAGGCACATCGGGCTGGACTCCGGGCAGAGGCACATCGGGCAGAGGCACATCGGGCAGGACTCCGGGCAGAGGCACATCGGGCAGGACTCCGGGCAGAGGCACATCGGGCTGGACTCCGGGCAGAGGCACATCGGCTGGACTCCGGGCAGAGGCACATCGGGCTGGACTCCGGGCAGAGGCACATCGGGCAGAGGCACATCGGGCAGGACTCTGGGCAGAGGCACATCTGATTACCAGGCGAAGCAGCAGGCAGCGGGCCACCAGGCGGGAGCAGCAGGCAGCGGGCCACCAGGCGGAGCAGCAGGCAGCGGGACCCCCGGGCGGAGCAGCAGGCAGCGGGCCCCCGGGCGGACCGACAGGCACCGGGCCCCCGGGCGGGGGCGACGGGCACCGGGCCCCCAGGCGGGGGGCGACGGGCACCGGGCCCCCGGGCGGGGCGACGGGCACCGGGCCCCCGGGCGGGGCGACGGGCACCGGGCCCCCGGGCGGGGCGACGGGCACCGGGCCCCCAGGCGGGGCGACGGGCATCGGGCCCCCAGGCGGGGGCGACGGGCATCGGCCCCCAGGCGGGGCGACTGGCATCGGGCTCCCAGGCGGAGCGGCGGGCGCCGGACCCCCAGATGGAGCGACAGGTCTCGGGCCCTCAGGCGGCGGCGGCGGGCGCCGGACCCCCAGGCGGAGCGACAGGTCTCGGGCCCTCAGGCGGAGCGGCGGGCGCCGGACCCCCAGGCGGAGCGACAGGTCTCGGGCCCTCAGGCGGAGCGGCGGGCGCCGGACCCCCAGGCGGAGAGCGACAGGTCTCGGGCCCTCAGGCGGAGCGGCGGGCGCCGGACCCCCAGGCGGAGCGACAGGTCTCGGGCCCTCAGGGAGAGCGGCGGGCGCCGGACCCCCAGGCGGAGCGACAGGTCTCGGGCCCTCAGGCGGAGCGGCGGGCGCCGGACCCCAGGCGGAGCGACAGGTCTCGGGCCCTCAGGCGGAGCGGAGGGCGCCGGACCCCCAGGCGGAGCGACAGGTCTCGGGCCCTCAGGCGCGAGCGGCGGGCGCCGGACCCCCAGATGGAGCGACAGGTCTCGGGCCCTCAGGCGGAGCGGGGGCGCCGGACCCCCAGGCGGAGCGACAGGTCTCGGGCCCTCAGGCGGAGCGGCGGGCGCCGGACCCCCAGGCGGAGCGACAGGTCTCGGGCCCTCAGGCGGAGCGGCGGGCGCCGGACCCCCAGGCGGAGCGACAGGTCTCGGGCCCAGGCGGAGCGGCGGCGGGCGCCGGACCCCAGGCAGGCGGGGCGACAGGTCTCGGGCCCTCAGGCGGAGCGGCGGGCGCCGGACCCCCAGGCGGGAGCGACAGGTCTCGGGCCCTCAGGCGGAGCGGCGGGCGCCGGACCCCCAGGCGGACCGACAGGTCTCAGGCCAGGCGGTCAGGCGGAGCGGCGGGCGCCGGACCCCCAGGCGGGGCGACGGGCATCGGGCCCCCAGGCGGGGGACGGACGGGCATCAGTCGGGCCCCCAGGCGGGACGACGGGCATCGGGACCCCAGGCGGGGCGACAGGTCTCGGGCCCTCAGGCGGAGCGGCGGGCGCCGGACCCCCAGATGGAGCGACAGGTCTCGGGCCCTCAGGCGGAGCGGCGGGCGCCGGACCCCCAGGTGGAGCGACAGGTCTCGGGCCCTCAGGCGGAGCGGCGGGGGCGCCGGGACCCCCAGGGGAGCGACAGGTCTCGGGCCCTCACGCGGAGCGGGCGGGCGCCGGACCCCCAGGGGGGGCGAGGGCATCGGGCCCCCAGGCGGGACGACGGGGCATCGGGCCCCCAGGCGGGACGACGGGCATCGGGGGACCCAGGCGCGGGGCGACAGGTCTCGGGCCCTCAGGCGGAGCGGCGGCGGGGCGCTGCGCCGGACCCCCAGATGGAGCGACAGGTCTCGGGCCTCAGGCGGAGCGGCGGGCGCCGGACCCCCAGGTGGAGCGACAGGTCTCGGGCCCTCAGGCGGAGCGCGGCGGGCGCCGGACCCCAGGTGGAGCGACAGGTCTCGGGCCCTCACGCGGAGGGGCGGCGGGCGCCGGACCCCCAGGTGGAGCGACAGGTCTCGGGCCCTCAGGCGGAGCGGCGGGGCGCCGGACCCCCAGGTGGAGCGACAGGTCTCGGGCCCCTCAGGCGGAGCGGCGGGGACTCGCCGGACCCCCAGGTGGAGCGACAGCTCTCGGGCCCTCAGGCGGAGCGGCGGGCGCCGGACCCCCAGGCGGAGCGACAGGTCTCGGGCCCTCAGGCGGAGCGGGCGGCGGGCGCCGGACCCCCAGGCGGAGCAACAGGTCTCGGGCCCCCAGGCGGGGCAGTGGGCGCCGGACCTCCAGGCGGAGCGGCGGGCACCGAGTCACCAGGCACGACAGTGGGCTCCGAGTCAACTGGCATGACCGCTGGCACTGGGTCAGACATTGGATCGTCTGGCTGGACAGCGGGCATCGGGTCATCTGGCAAGGCAGTGGGCTCCGAGTCAACTGGTATGACCGCGGGCACTGGGTCAGACATTGGATCGTCTGACTGGACAGCGGGCATCGGGTCACCAGGCATCAAGTCATTTGGCTCGACAGCGAGCACCGCGTCATCTGGCAAGGCAGTGGGCTCCGAGTCAACTGGCATGACCGCGGGCACTGGGGCAGACATTGAATCGTCTGGCTGGACAGCGGGCATCGGGTCACCAGGTATGACAGCGGGCACTGGGTCACCAGGCATCAGGTCATTTGGCTCGACAGCGGGCACCGCGTCATCTGGCAAGGCAGTGGGCTCCGAGTCAACAGGCACGACAGTGGGCACCGGGTCATCAGGTACCGGATTGTCTGGCTCGACAGCGGGCATCGGGTCACCAGGTATGACAGCGGGCCCTGGGTCACCAGTAGAGATGAGCGAAGTATTCAAAAATTTGATTCGGCGAATTTCAGGAAGAAATTCGATTCGATGCGAATTTATTCGCTACGAAGATAACTTAAAAAGGGTTTCTAGGCTTCAGATAGCCTTTAAATTAGTGCAGAACACTGTACCTTTAATTTAAATGCCCTTGGAGATGAGGAAGGAGAAGGAGAAGGATGAGAAGAAGGAGAAGGAGAAGGATGAGAAGAAGGAGAAGGAGAAAGGATGAGAAGAAGGAGAAGGAGAAGGATGAGAAGAAGGAGAAGGAGAAGGATGAGAAGAAGGAGAAGGAGAAGGATGAGAAGAAGAAGGAGAAGGAGAAGGATGAGAAGAAGGAGAAGGATGAGAAGAAGGAGAAGGAGAAGGATGAGAAGAAGGAGAAGGATGAGAAGAAGGAGAAGGAGAAGGATGAGAAGAAGGAGAAGGAGAAGGATGAGAAGAAGGAGAAGGAGAAGGATGAGAAGAAGGAGAAGGATGAGAAGAAGGAGAAGGAGAAGAAGAAGGATGAGAAGAAGGAGAAGGATGAGAAGAAGGATGAGAAGAAGGAGAAGGATGAGAAGGATGAGAAGAAGGAGAAGGATGAGAAGGAGAAGGATGAGAAGAAGGAGAAGGATGAGAAGGAGAAGGATGAGAAGAAGGATGAGAAGAAGGAGAAGGATGAGAAGAAGGATGAGAAGAAGGAGAAGGATGAGAAGAAGGAGAAGGAGAAGGATGAGAAGAAGGAGAAGGATGAGAAGAAGGATGAGAAGAAGGAGAAGGATGAGAAGAAGGATGAGAAGAAGGAAAAGGATGAGAAGAAGGATGAGAAGAAGGAGAAGGATGAGAAGAGGGATGAGAAGAAGGAAGGATGAGGAGAAGGATGAGAAGGATGAGAAGGAGAAGGATGAGAAGAAGGAAGAAGGATGAGAAGAAGGAGAAGGATGAGAAGAAGGATGAGAAGAAGGAGAAGGATGAGAAGAAGGACAGTTCTGTGACAGTTTCTGTCTATTTCTGACAGTTCTGTGACATTCACTCCATACAGCGGTTTCAACCGCTGTATGGAGTGAATGTCCCAGAACTGTCAGAAATAGCCTATTTCTGACAGTTCTGGGACATTCACTCCATACAGCGGTTGAAACATTGTATCTATTTGTTTCCAGAAATGGATCCATTTATGGAAACAAATAGATACAATGTTTCAACCGCTGTATGGAGTGAATGTCCCAGAACTGTCAGAAATAGGCGGGGTCTCGGGCCCCCAGGCGGGGCAGCAGGGGCGCCGGACCTCCAGGCGGAGCGGCGGGGCACCGAGTCACCAGGCACGACAGTGGGCTCCGAGTCAACTGGCATGACCGCTGGCACTGGGTCAGACATTGGATCGTCTGGCTGGACAGCATAGGGGCATCGGGTCATCTGGCAAGGCAGTGGGCTCCGAGTCAACTGGTATGACCGCGGGCACTGGGTCAGACATTGGATCGTCTGACTGGACAGCGGGCATCGGGTCACCAGGCATCAAGTCATTTGGCTCGACAGCGAGCACCGCGTCATCTGGCAAGGCAGTGGGCTCCGAGTCAACTGGCATGACCGCGGGCACTGGGGCAGACATTGAATCGTCTGGCTGGACAGCGGGCATCGGGTCACCAGGTATGACAGCGGGCACTGGGTCACCAGGCATCAGGTCATTTGGCTCGACAGCGGGCACCGCGTCATCTGGCAAGGCAGTGGGCTCCGAGTCAACAGGCACGACAGTGGGCACCGGGTCATCAGGTACCGGATTGTCTGGCTCGACAGCGGGCATCGGGTCACCAGGTATGACAGCGGGCCCTGGGTCACCAGTAGAGATGAGCGAAGTATTCAAAAATTTGATTCGGCGAATTTCAGGAAGAAATTCGATTCGATGCGAATTTATTCGCTACGAAGATAACTTAAAAAGGGTTTCTAGGCTTCAGATAGCCTTTAAATTAGTGCAGAACACTGTACCTTTAATTTAAATGCCCTTGGAGATGAGGAAGGAGAAGGAGAAGGATGAGAAGAAGGAGAAGGAGAAGGATGAGAAGAAGGAGAAGGAGAGAGGATGAGAAGAAGAGAAGGAGAAGGATGAGAAGAAGGAGAAGGAGAAGGATGAGAAGAAGGAGAAGGAGAAGGATGAGAAGAAGGAGAAGGATGAGAAGAAGGAGAAGGAGAAGGATGAGAAGAAGGAGAAGGATGAGAAGAAGGAGAAGGATGAGAAGAAGGAGAAGGAGAAGGATGAGAAGAAGGAGAAGGAGAAGGATGAGAAGAAGGAGAAGGAGAAGGATGAGAAGAAGGAGAAGGATGAGAAGAAGGAGAAGGAGAAGAAGAAGGATGAGAAGAAGGAGAAGGATGAGAAGAAGGATGAGAAGAAGGAGAAGGATGAGAAGAAGGATGAGAAGAAGGAGAAGGATGAGAAGGAGAAGGATGAGAAGAAGGAGAAGGATGAGAAGGAGAAGGATGAGAAGAAGGATGAGAAGAAGGAGAAGGATGAGAAGAAGGATGAGAAGAAGGAGAAGGATGAGAAGAAGGAGAAGGAGAAGGATGAGAAGAAGGAGAAGGATGAGAAGAAGGATGAGAAGAAGGAGAAGGATGAGAAGAAGGATGAGAAGAAGGAAAAGGATGAGAAGAAGGATGAGAAGAAGGAGAAGGATGAGAAGAGGGGATGAGAAGAAGAAGGATGAGGAGAAGGATGAGAAGGATGAGAAGGAGAAGGATGAGAAGAAGGAGAAGGATGAGAAGAAGGAGAAGGATGAGAAGAAGGATGAGAAGAAGGAGAAGGATGAGAAGAAGGACAGTTCTGTGACAGTTTCTGTCTATTTCTGACAGTTCTGTGACATTCACTCCATACAGCGGTTTCAACCGCTGTATGGAGTGAATGTCCCAGAACTGTCAGAAATAGCCTATTTCTGACAGTTCTGGGACATTCACTCCATACAGCGGTTGAAACATTGATTTGTTTCCATAAATGGATCCATTTATGGAAACAAATAGATACAATGTTTCAACCGCTGTATGGAGTGAATGTCCCAGAACTGTCAGAAATAGACTATTTCTGACAGTTCTGGGACATTCACTCCATACAGCGGTTTCAACAAAGTGTATCTGCAGAGCTCCTCTAAGTGTATCTGCAGAATGTCATTTATGGAAACAAATAGATACAATGTTTCAAGGAACCACTCCATACAGCGGTTGAAACATTGTATCTATTTTTTTCCATAAATGACATTCTGCAGATACACTTAGAGGAGCTCTGCAGATACACTTTTTGCCGGCTTGGAATTAATCTTATTTTCATCCTACTTATTCTTCTTCTTCTTCTTCTTCTGAGGATGAGGATGAAGAAGAAAGAAGAAGAGGATGAGGATGAGGATGAAGAAGAAGAAGAAGTAGGATGAAAATAAGAATAATTCCAAGCCGGCAAAAAGTGTATCTGTAGAGCTCCTCTAAGTGTTGTATGGAGTGAGTGTCCCAGAACTGTCAGAAATAGCCTATTTCTGACAGTTCTGGGACATTCCCTCCATACAGCGGTTGAAACTAAGTGTATCTGCAGAATAGAGGAGCTCTGCAGATACATTTTTGCCGGCTTGGAATTTTTTTATTTTCATCCTACTTCTTCTTCTTCATCCTCATCCTCAGAAGAAGAGGATCGAGGAGGATGAAGAGGAAGAAGAAGAAGAAGTAGGATGAAAATAAGATTAATTCCAAGCCGGCAAAAAGTGTATCTGCAGAGCTCCTCTATTCTGCAGATACACTTAGAGGCAAACCGGCAAAAAGTGTATGTGCAGAGTTCCTCTATTTCTGACAGTTCTCTGACAGCTCCTTCACATGTACAGCGGTTGAAACATCTGTATCCTAAATGGAAACTAATAGATACAATGTTTCAACCGCTGTACATGTGAAGGAACTGTCAGAGAAATGTCAGAAATAGCGGAGCTCTCTGCAGGGACACTTTTGCCGGCTGATCGGGAAAAATTCGATTCGCGCACCCGAAGTAGGCAAATTTTCGGATTCGATCTAATTTTTCCTGAAATTCGTATCGAATTCCGGTTCGCCTGGTTCGATTCACTCATCTCTAGTCACCAGGCATCAGGTCATTTGGCTCGCCAGCGGGCACCGCGTCATCTCGCAAGGCAGTGGGCACCGAGTCACCAGGTACGACAGCGGGCTCTGAGTCAATTGGCACGATAGCGGGCACCGGATCAGGTACCGGATCATCTGGATCAACAGCTGGCATCGAGTCAACTGGCCTAATAGGATTGTCAGGCTGGATCCGTTCATCATGCTGGGTAGAGGCATCAGGCTGGATGCCGGCGTCCGGCTGAGTAGAGGCTTCAGGCTGAGTAGAGGCTTCAGGCTGAGTAGAGGCTTCAGGCCGAGTAGAGGCTTCAGGCCGAGTAGAGGCTTTAGGCCGAGTAGAGGCATCAGGCCGAGTAGAGGCTTCAGGCCGAGTAGAGGCTTCAGGCCGAGTAGAGGCATCAGGCCGAGTAGAGGCTTCAGGCCGCGTACAGGCATCAGTAGAGGCATCAGGCTGAGTACAGGCATCAGGCTGAGTAGAGGCTTCAGGCTGAGTACAGGCATCAGGCTGAGTAGAGGATTCAGGCTGAGTAGAGGCTTCAGTCTGAACCACGGAAGGCAGGTTCACCGGTTTGGATACTGGCAGGATGGTATTGGTGGAAAGAATTTTCGCTTTTTTTCTGGTTTTAACTACTGGAGCACTGCAAGTAAACGCAGGTCTGCAAACGAATGGAGAGCTGGAGACAGAGAATAACTGGAGGATGGAACAGGAGAGGGAGCAGTTGCTACAGAGGGCTTTTTTACAGGGTTAAAGGCAGGATAGGTGCAGCGAGTGGGAACAGGGGACTGACATGCGGTAGATAGCAGGGGCAGGAGGAGCTGTTGGGAATGCAGGAATAGAGTTTTGAGGAAATAGATTAGAAGCAGGACTGGGTTTTTGTAAGCTGACTGAGGCTGGGTGCAACAAGTCTGTCCATGTCTGCAGTATGGGTTGAACAAAGCTGAGCTTACACAAAGCCTGTCTGGTCAATGACTGCACTGCGTTTATACAATCTCTTAGTACCTGTGGTGAACATGTGGAATAACGCTCCAGAAAGTAACCCACATCATCCTCTAATAACCACACCAGGGACTCTACCTGGTCTGCACTAAATGGTGGCAAAAATTCATCCCTGCATTCGGGGGGAACCAGATGAAACCAACTCAGCACAAACCTGAATCAAAGGCTGCACCTCAGAAAACTCTGTGCCCTGATCTACTAGAACATGAGCGAGCCGTATACATTCTAGCAGTTCATCCCGGGTATACTCCTTCAGAGTTTGATAAGCATACTCCCTGTCATCAAACACTAGCAGATATAAATACGCAACCTCATCCAGATCCATCCTTCCCATCAACAAACCAAGATGGCTTCCCTGTGCAGCCACTTCTGGTCAGGATTGGCCTTGGTGTAATGTCAGGGCTCCCGGGTATGACCAGAGGTGTGTGACTGACGCAGGGAAACGCAGACTTCAGATATGTTATAAACAATGTAATTTATTAACACTAACAATACAAACATAAACGCAGTGCAATACTAAAACATAACACAGTGCAAACAAACCAAACCAACCACCCACAGATAACAGTACATACAATGCAAGCGTCGTCAGGCAGGCCGGGTCAATATCAGTCGGGCAGGTAGGTACAGGGGGAGCAAGCGGAGAATGGTCGGGGTCACAGGCCAGGTTCAGCAGGTAGCGGGCAGCGTGGTACAGAGGGTCAGGCAGAGGAGAATGGTCAGACAAGCCAGGGATCAGAGCAGGGTCAGCAGAGAATCAGACAGGAACAGAGAACAGGATACAGGGCCCAAGAGAAAACACACCAAGGCAGAGTCTGCAGGTCTGAATGTCCCTTAAATACACCAGTATAATTAGTTCCAGGTGTTTGACTGGCTGCAAGGTTGAGTCTCTGATTGCTGGGAGCACCCGCTGGCCAGCCCTGGTACTGCAGCTCATAAGGCAGCTGAGTCCCACTATTGCTGGCCAGTCCATTTCTGACACCAGGAGACAGTAATCAGTCTTTGAGCTTTTTGTTTTGGATTTTATTAGGGGAATTAGAACTTGGATAGGGTAGGGGTGTATGGGATGCCCAAAGGAATGGAGAACAATCTTCTTGTGTATTATGTGTATTAAGTCTCTTTTAGCAGCAAAATAAACAAATCCTTGTTCTTGAAGAGCTGGCCAGCATCTCCTGTAGTACCACCCCAGGCCCTAGATACTCTTTATCCAGCTGTTCTGGGTGAATCCCAGGCAGGGGATCCAGTGTCTGTCACTTTAGGAGAAGGCAGTCCTAGGTAGTAGCTGATCTAGTTTCTACTAGAGTGCTTCCTTCCTCATACTGGCCCAGGGGGTGTAGGTCTATACACTCAGTCCTTCTCTTATGAGCTGTTAAGTCGGTGGCTGCTCTCAGGCCTTCTGCTGGGCTGCTCCTTCCCAGTTGCATAGGTGGTCCTTGCTCTGGAGGATGGAGAAGTTCTGAGCTTTCCTTCTTCCAAGATCCTCTGCTTGTAGGTGAGCCTCTCTCCATCTGGGTCCCCCTCCAGGCTCCTGCTTTCCAGCTTCACGTCTCCATCTTCCACCTAAACTCTCCTGCTGCTGAGCAGGCTCCCTCACTCTTAAGGGCTGTCCTGGCCCTATGTCAAGCCTCCTGTTGGGAATTGGCCAGGATCCCTTGGGAGAACAGACCAGCCACTCCTCTCTCCCTCCCACTGCTTCTAGAATCTTCTCCAAAATTTGACCTCCCTCTGACAATCACCACAGGCTGCTCCTCAGGCTCTAACAATTGAGCACTAGCTCCCCCTAGATATCTAGGAGGGTGCTACAAATATATGTTGTAAAAAGGAGACTATCTTAGTATAAGGTGGAGGGACCTATCGGGTATGGAACACAGCAAAAGGTGTAACATTGGATAATCCTGAATTTATTCATCAGACTGGGCAGCTTATGCGTACAGACAACACAAACAGTCCTTACTTCAGGTATGTCCCAGTTATAAGTCCATTTATCATACCTTGGTAAAAAGCAACATTTTATACCTGTTTGATTGTAGATAGAAAGGGCCTCTCTCACAAGCTGTCTCAGGGTCAGACAGATCTGAACATTCTCTCCCTGTGTGTGTACATTAGGGAGCAGCTTTGGGTGTGGACTGAACCCATGTTTTGGCCTGAATTCTACACATTCAGAATGATTAAGAACAATAATCACCACTACTAAAAATGACAGTTTCCCACTCAGGGTGGCTGTCGGGGAATAAGCAGCTGCTGGTGTCCTAACAACAAGTAGGTCATTCCTACTGGCCCATTCAGCTGTGAGCTGGAGATTCCTGGTTGATGGGTAAATTTAAACAAATTGGTAGGTGGTGGATGCTGCTTTATGCATGGTCATACCTCCATGGACCTTCTCTGCCCGAACACCTGGTCACTTGCTGACTTGGCACCATGCGTGAACGCCTAAACTCTTCAATATGGCAGTAGTTGAATACAATGCAATTTTACTTAAGATAATTGTAGTACAGAGGATGTTTTTCAATCTTTAAAAAAATAGAAGACTTAGTGACTTTCCTACACTGTCTTTGCAAAGAACTGACAAATGGAAGAAACAGGAAGGGTCTACCTAGGATTGAACTGACTAGCACTAAACAGGATGAGAGAGAAGAGATAGATATACCAAATCAAATAGGTTAATAGGTTGTACTAGTGTGAGATGGGGAAACAGCTCTCATTGTTTGAACACTGTTTGTGTGGAATTAAACTAATGTTTTGACTGACATTCTGCGGTTTAGCCAACAAGATGTCACTGTTCTAACACAGCCTCAGACTCAATAGATATTTGTATATTCATGAAGAGGTGGGGTTTTTTTGCACACAGAGTTGGAGAGAACAGGAAGGAGAGAGAGAAGCCATTGTTTTGGAGTGTAGCCCTGTTTTGGGGGGGGGGTTATGTGAAATGGCCCACACCAAACAAGCTATGGCGCTAACCTGTATATGAGTAGGCAATCCTGAGCCTTCTCTATATGGAAAAGGGGGTTGTGATAATACAAATGGCAGTGCCTCCACCTAGAATAGGGATCCTGCAATTGAGGAGACTCACCCCTTTCTAGGAATGTAACAGGTAGACAACTTAAAGTAACTATACATAGCAGTATTAATGCATCCAACTTATATTTCTAACATGAAAACATGTCACCACACCTGTATAAGATTAATGCAAAGTTTATATAAAGCAGCCACATAAAACAGGATGCATAAGAATAACATTCAGGAATTACAATTTACCATAAATTGGGAGGTTGCAATTATACCCGGGTATATGTGCATGTAGTATACAGAATACCTCCAACCATGGGTTATAGCGCTGTCCGGTTGCAGGGGCCCCTGGAGAGGTGAGAGTCAATAAGATGTTACGCTTCCACTTTAGATGCTGTGATGGCGTCCAAGTAACACGTTCTATGCGGATGATTGCACTGCTTGTCTGAAGATCAGCGATGCATCACCTAAAAGGATAAAATGCTCTATCTCTCCTTACTCTTAGTCCCTATCCCTAAACTGGGCTGTCACTGCAACCGGGCCTCTATCTGTCTAAGTGGCCGTCGGATGCCTAACCTACCTCTAGCCTAATCTTATCCAACGCTCCCTATGCTAATCCTAGCTAAAGAGAGATCCAGATCAATAAGGCTATTTAAGCAAAGGGGCTGCAAAGATACACTGCAATTAACAGAAAGTTCACCTGACAGTCTTATGCAGGTGAAAACACTGATCTATATATATATATATATATAGACAACTATAAGGATTCTGCAGTGTGTAAATAGAATAATGATAATGAACCACAAATCTCTCTCTTACAGAGGTATTAGGGTTCCTATACAGAAGTTGAAATATAACAGAGGCAGACCTAATCTGCTTCAGTAACAACTACATAGCCTTGTTAATCTGGATCATTATTCCCAGAATTCCCAGACAGTTCTCCCCAGATACATAGCACATGGCAGGCTGGTACCCTCTGCCTGATACTTCCTGGAAAACAACTATATAACATCCTGGGGTTTCCTGACCTCCTTGTAGGGGCAGGAAGCACACCCAGGGACTTGTCTGTAATGG